GATGGACGTGAAAGAAAATGAAGAGAATCCATCATCAGACAACTTGCTTGAAAAAAATGTGAAAGGAACTCTGCAGGCTGAAGAGAACTGATACAAGAAGGAAGCTTAAAACTTCAGATACAGGAAGAACATCAGGAATGGTTAAGCTTCTGGGTAAATGTGATAGTCTATGTTTCTCCTCTTAAATTCTTTAATACATGTATGACTTTTGAAAGCAAACATTATACCCCGTCTCAGAGGGTGGGGTTCAATTCATAAAGATTTAATACAAATGACAACTATGATATAAAGCGTGGGGCGTTAAAGAACCTGTATAGCTGTCCAGTTTTAACCTTTTAGTTCAACTGGTAAGATGCTCACTCCAACTTGACTATGAAATGATGAGTATATATAGTGTTACTCCCAGAAAAATAAACACAAAGCTATTACAAACTCACTCGGAGACATTGGGTACCTTCAAAAGTGCTATCCAGGAAACATGAAGAAAGCAGCTAAAAACACTCAGATACATGTTTTTGTGTGAATATAAATATTGCTTTCTCTTGGTTAATTGCCTAGGAGTGGGATCACTGGGACGTGTGGTAAGCCTGTCTCTCCCAGCCTGTCCTGCTTGCCACCATGCCCCTAGCCCACAGGGATCTGGGTGAACCCCCCTTCTCTTCTTAGCAGCACCCCACTCCAATGTCCCCAGGGGAAAGGGCAGGGCGACGCACAGGCACTGATCCCAAAGCTGTCATCCTGTGCAGGGGCTGCAAATCCCGGAGCCCGGCTCTCAGCAGTTAGTTCTCCTCTGCCTGCTCAGAGACCCATCCTGTCCAGTTTCTGACACACTGCTCAAGGCCGCCAGGGTGAGAGGAGCCCGCTGTCATGCCAAGAAGCTCACCTCGAGTCAAACACCTTCCACTTCCAGGGAGATGCGAAAGCGCCTGATTGTCCAGGGGATGAGCTACAACTTTTGCCGCTGAGCCTGTTCCTCGACGGTCCTTTGCTCCTGCTGCTGCACTTCACACACACCTGTACTTGCGGAACACTTTGCGCATGCGTATGTTCCTCCAGGTTCCTTTGCACTCCAGCCTGATCGGCGAGACTACTTAGCGCATGTGCACACACCTCTGGCAATCTGTGCGCGCGCCCTTTCCCAGCGCGTGCGTTCCGTGTGCGCGCCCATTCATTGAAGACAGGTTCAAAGGACGCGTCCCAGCAACCGGCCAAACAGTGCGCGCTCCGCCTTTGCCAGAGTTGGCAGCTAAAGGAGAACGCTCAGCATCTGCTATACTCCAGAACTAAAAAACCGAACTTGTGCCTTTGAGTCTATCGGCACTCAAGGACCAATCTTCCAGGACTGCACCGATGGGCAGTTCTCTGGGCAAGCTTGGCCCCTCGTCTTGGTCCCCTGCACAGGGGACCGAGGTCCCGCTGGGGAGGCTTGAATGTCCACCGTCCGCAACCTGCCTCGGCCCAGTTCCCTGGGCTCTCCGCGGTCCCCCAGCTACCCCTGCCTCTGCCCTTGGCGGGATTCGCCGGCCATCCTACAGGTCTTCAGGTTCTTTAAAACGGCGCTTTCTCAGGGCCTCCTGGAGACGAAATCCCGGGATCCTACAGACCCTGTGGTCCTTCCTGGGGACCCTCACCTCCCTGTGCTGGTCTCACTCTCATAGGAAGCAGAGTCTGTCTGCACATCACTTCAAGGTATCTCACAGCTCAGGGAGGTTAGTGAGCAAATGGGTTGTCTCTTTGGTACAAGAGCAGGCAGTCACCTCTATGAGGCCCACAACACTCCGGTGTCCCCAAGACCCTGGTGCAGAGAAAGCTGTGTGGAGGGGGATGGTGAAGCAGGAGGAAGACACCCTGGTCCTAGAAAGGCAGGACCATCACAAAAGGGGCCCTGACGGCACTGGCAGGGCACAGTCTGCATTTAGGCCTGTGGGTGTCCATGGAGGTGAATCTTCCTTCCTTCCCAGGCCTGGGCCTCTGAAGAGAAGCCTCCATTCCAAGAGCTCAGAAGACAATTCCATCAAGGTGACAAAGACCCCCTTTCTGAGCTCCTGCACCAAAAGAAATGCCATCACGAGCTCATACAGCTCCACCCAAGGATTCCCCCCACTGAAGAGGAGGAGGGGTCCTGCCACATCCCAGTCCCAGCTGACCTGCACGTCCACAGAGAGAGTGACCCAGGAGGCTCAGGGACCTGGAACATCAGCTTCAGCGATGTTCGTGAGGAAGGTGCAGTGTGAAAAAGTTTCCAATGTGACCTCAGGGCAGAAACGCAACTTGAGGGACTGCTCCACCACATCTGACAGCTCTAGGCCCCGGAAACGCAGAACTCCTCTACTGCGACCTAGGCGAGGGGACCCTCTTGTTCTGCCGCCATTCCCCCAGCCAGGTTATCCGGTCACCGCTGAAGATCTCGACCGAGAGAAGAGAGCAGCGCTCCAGTGCATCAACATCAGTTTGAGGGGTGAGAAGGAGGCCAACTCTGGCTGCAGGGCCACTCAATCTTCAGGTGCTTCTACCTTGCCTGCCGCAGAGGCTGCTCCTCCAGCAGCTGCCCCACCAGCTCCCACCCTGAATCAGCAATGGAGGACAGAGCAGGACTCCTTGAGCCCACTGGCTGTCCTGGAACATGCTGGAGCGGCCACCCCTAGCAATCCCACGTGTGGAAGGAAGCCCAGCT